GAATAGACAACAAACCAATGACTGAACCCTGATAGGATCAGGCGCTAATGGAGTGACCCGCAAAACAAACTTAACAGTTTTCAAAAACAAAAACATGGAGTACTACTTCATACTTGATCAGACAAAGCTCTGAAGGGTAAGGTTGTAAATCGAACATTGCTATCTTAGCATGGTCACATGAAATCACGCTTACAGTCCTTTTGAGGGTTAGAAAACATTCAAACGTTTTAGAACGGACACCTTTTTCCAAAGGTTTTCAGAACGGAATCCTTTTTTCCGAAGGTTTTTAGAACGGTCAACTTTTTTCCAAAGGTTTTTAGAACGGATACCTTTTTTCCGAAGGTTTTTAGAACGGACACCTTTTTTCCAAAGGTTTTCAGAACGGTCAACTTTTTTCAAAGGTTTTCAGAATCGAAACCTTTTTTCCAAAGGTTTTCAGAACGGTCAACTTTTTTTCAAAGGTTTTCAGAACGGACACCTTTTTTTCAAAGGTTTTCAGAACGGACACCTTTTTTCCCAAAGTTTTTCAGAACGAACACCTTTTTTCCAAAGGTTTTCAGAACGGACATCTTTTTTTCAAAGGTTTTCAGAACGAACATCTTTTTTCCAAAAGTTTTCAGAACGGACATCTTTTTTTCCAAAGGTTTTCCTCAAAGGCCTTAAGATTTTCTTTAAACATCCCCTATCCCATCGGAGACCCCAAGTCCTCCGTTGAACTCTAATGATGATGTTTTCTTCCAAGACTCGAATTTTTTTCCCCCACCGTAAATACAGCTTTTTATTATGCTTTAAAAAAACGTTAAAGTTTTTTGTGACACCCAGTTTAGTCCGGACTCGTTGCCAATCTTGATCTGATTTTAGAATTCAAACATTTGCAATTCTAGATCTGCAGATCTGCAGATTTGCAGATTTGGTTTTGTTGTTTTAGTTTCAATTAAAGCTTTAAATCAATGTAGTAATTTGTTTGATGACATGTGCTGTTAACAGAACTCGCTTTTCTGGCAAATAATGGTTGTAAAACATGGTTTATTTCTTTAGGCGTTTAATAAAACATTGGTTTTAAGAAATTGTAGTTTTTGCCTTGTAATGGTATACATAAGCAATAACAGATGCCCTTTTTTATTGAATACAACTTTTTTTAAACATTACTTTTAATTATATATTTTTTATCTTTATCGTAACTCATTTTTTCTTAACAATTTTGAATTTTGAGAGGTCTTTTTTAGGGTTCGGCTCATTTTTCAAGATTCTTTCTCCTTCAAAAACCCTTTTATTCTTTAACAAGCTCTCTCATTATATTCCCGTTTAAATTGAACACTGGCTCCAAAATTGGTTAGAACTGCTAAATTTTTAGAAAAATCTAAAATGACACTCTGGGACGTATGAGGTCATATATTTCACAATTTTAGGAATTTACCCTCTTTACCCCTCTAGTGCAAAGCACGCCCCCTTCCCTCTACCATTATGTTCTTCCCCCTTCCCCTTGCACTATTCTCCCCCCCCCATGAATAAGTCAATAGGGGAATAATGGGGAGAATTCAGAATACTGAACACCTA